CGGGGCCTTTTGGAGCTCTGGGAGGCTTCTGGCCGCGACGGCGACACCAGCCTCGAAGTTCTAGTCAGACCGCACTCCAGGAGGTCTGGGGATTGACTTGTCACCCCCCTCCCAGAACCCCCTCGCGTCGTGAGAAAATCGAGGTGGAATCATTTTGGCCATTTTCGGCCTCTGTTGGTCTTTGCAGGGCCCCAGGGCCATCCAGGCACGATTGAGGATGAAGAGCCCATCCCGGAGAAGGGGCCGAGATCTCGGGGGGTCCACCTTGTGTGAAACAGGCCGCGGCGTCGGCAACGGTGACACTTCCGCTGGCCCTGCACTGGCGCGAGTAGGGGGCCACATGCGAACCCTACCCCTACCCCCCACGATTTCTGAGGAGGAGGGTGGGGTTCACTTCGCTCGGGAGCTCCCGAACAACGTGAACCCCACCCTACCCTTCAGAAATCGTGGAGGGTAGGGGTAGGGTTCGCATGTGGCCCCCTAGCGAGTTTCAGGTTGGCAGCACTGCGCCTTTGCCGAGAGCTTCCAGTCGCGTCTGGCCCACCTCAGCGCGAGTCGCGTGCCGTGCGTCGAGCGCACGCCGCACGCTCGGGGGGCCAGCCGCCGCTGCAGTTTCGGGCGTGGCAGCCGCACGGGCTGCCACGTCAGCGTGCGGTCTGTGGGCCCTCGCGGCCACGAAGACCCCGTGGCGCCTCCGCCTCGCCCTCCCCCCTCCGCTCCTCTCCCTCCCTCCCCCTCGTTCGGGGGCAGCGATCGGGGGGAAATGGCATATGGGGGAGATGCATCGACCCCCCAGCGGCCACTGATCGTCAGTAGGGGTCCGTTAGCCCCAACCTGCCCAGGAAGGTGCGGATTCTTCATCGGGGGCCTATCGCCGATCTATCGGCGATGCATCGCTGATTCTAGGTCGATGGCCCCCCCTTCTGCCAGTCCCCCCCTATCGTTGCCCCTCATTCGTCCTTCCGTTGTTTATGCGTCCTTTGGCACCCAAAGCGGCACCAGCATCCCGAGTGGGCTGCAGATGCGGCAAGCCGTTTCTGGGAGGCCGCATGGGCGCCCTGTCCCATAAGCCACGCGTGCAAGTTAGTACCATCTCGCAAAAGCATTCACCTCCTGGTCGGGTTTGGTTTTTCTGAGTCTCGGGAAACTCCAAACCCCGGGCCCGGGTTCGTTTTTCCAGGGTTTCGGGGAACTCTTAACCCCGACCAGGGGAAGCCGGCGGACCCGCGTAGAGTGTTGTCAGGGTTTCTGGAAAACTCAGAAACCCGGGCCCAGGCTAGTTTTTTCCATGGGTTCGGGGAACTCCAAACCCCACCTCCGGGTCGGGTTTGGATTTCCAGAGTTCCTGGAAACTCCAACCCCCAGGCCCAGGTTAGTTTTTCCAGGGTTTCGGGGAACTCTGAACACCGACCAGGGGAAGCTGGCGGACCCGCGTAGAGTTTTCGCAGGGTTTCTGGAAAACTCGGAAGCCTGGGCCCAGGTTAGTTTTCCAGGGACCAGGAGAAGCCGGCGGGCCCGCGTAGATTTTGCCAGGGTTTCCGGAAAGCTCCGAACCCCGGGCCCGGGTTAGTTTTTTCCAGGCCTGGGGTTACGGGAAAACCAGCAAGCCCGCGCTCAGGGTCAGTTTTTCCCAGGCTTCCGGGAAACTCCAAACCACGAGCCCGGGATAGTTTTTCCAGGGTTTCGGGGAACTCCAAACCTCGACCAGGAGGAGCCAGCGGACCCGCCGAGACTTTTGTCGGAGTTTCTGGAAAACTCCGCACCCCGGGCCCGGGTTAGTTTGTCCAGGGTTCTGGGGGAACCCAGGGTTTCGGGAAACTCCAAATCCCGACCAGGAGAAGCCGGCGGACCCGCGTGAACTTTTGCCAGGGTGTATGGAAAAACCCGAACCCCGGGCCCGGGTTAGTTTTTCCACGGTTTCGGGAACTCTAAACCCTGGGCCCAGGTTAGTTTTTCCAAGATTTCGGGGGCGGGTTTGGTTTTTACGAGCCTCTGGAATCTTTCTTCTCGGGACTGGGTTTGTTCGTCCGAGCTTCCGCAAACACCCCTGGGCGCGGGTTCCTATTTCCTAGGTCTTCGAAATTCGACGCCCTGGGCTCGAGTTTGTTTTTGGTGCCTTTTCTGAGAGCTCGGCACCTCGGGCGTGGACTTGTTCTCTCGTGGCTCCGGGAAGCTCGACGCCCGGGGCTCGGGTCAGCCTGTCCGGCGGCCCGAGGAGGGTCGGGGGGGCTCGGGGAGAGCTCCCGCAGGGTGCTCCTAGAAAAACTCGGACTCCCGAGCCCGGGCTACTCCTCCCCCCTCCTCCTCCTCCTCCACCTCCTCCTCCTCCTCCTCCTCCTCCTCCTCTCCTCCTCCTCCTCCTCCTCCTCCTCCTCTCTATCCTCCCCCTCCTCCCCCTCCTCCCTCCTCCTCCTCCTCCTCCCCTCCTCCCCTCCTTTTCCTCCTCCTCCTCCTCCTCCTTCTCCTCCTCCTCCTCCTCCTCCGCAGGGTTTTCCCAGGGTTCCGGGAAACTCCAAACCCCGACCAGGAAAGGCGAGCGGACCCGCGCGGTGTCTTTCCAGGCCTCCCAGATGGGGTCGGAGTAGATGGGGTCGAAGGATCTCGCCGCATCGCCGATGCATCGCCGATGCATCGGCGATGCGGCTCGATGTGGGGCCCGATTTGCTCCACGCCGAAGTCGCGGAAATATCGCCGACGTCGCCAGTGCATGGCGATGCATCGCCGATGCATCGGCGATGAATCGCCGATGTATCGGCGATGCGGCGAGATCTTTCGACCCCATCTACTCCGACCCCATCTAGGAGGCCTCTAGTCTTCGCAGGGTGTCGGGCAAACTCCGAATCCTGGGCCAGGGGTTAGTTTTCCAGAGTGTCCGCAGGGTTTCTGGACAGCTCGGAACCGAGGGACCGGGGGGTGGCCGAAGAGACCCAGAGAGTTCCCGCAGGGTTGCTGGAACACTCCGGACCCGCGGCCCGGTTTAATTTTCCCAGGGTTTCGGGAAACTCCAAGCCCCGGGCCCGGGTTCGCTTTTCTAGGCTTCCGAGGGGCCCGCTAGGTCTGCGGGGAAGGAGGGGCAGGAAGTGGCGCAAACTCTACGCGAGTCCGCCGGCTTCTCCTGGTCGGAGTTTGGAGTTTCCTGGAGCCCTGGAAAAACTAACCCGGGCCGCGGGGGGCAGAGTTTTCCAGAAACCCCGACAAAACTCTCGGCGGGTCCGCAAGCTCCTCCTGGTCGAGGTTTGGAGTTCCCCGGAACCCTGGACAAAACTATCCCGGGCTCGTGGTTCGGAGTTTCCTGGAACCCTGGGAAAAAAAACTGACCCGGGCGCGGGGTGCGGAGTTTCCCAGAGGCCCTGCGAAAACTTCACGCGACGACAGACTCGATATCCGTGACAAAACAAACTCTGCCATACTCTGGTTTGTTTGTTTATTTCGGCAACGGGTAGAGAGTGACCACGCCGACAGCCAGGAGGGTTTCGCTCTCTCAGAACCTCAACGACTGAGATTCTTTCTTCTGAGCTTTTGTTTGTTTCGGCAGAGGGCTAGATCCGGGAGAACCCGAACGGTGATAACCAGACGGCGAAACAAGCGAACTTCGCAGCAAAAGGTAGAGTTTCGCGGAACCTCGTTAAAATGCGGATTCACAAAGGTGAAGCGTAGTTAGTCTCCATGCCCCCCCCTCGCTCCGCAGTTGATTGCTTCGCGTTGCACTGAATCCTCTGCCCCCTTGCTTCCTCCGCAGCCGTTCGGGTCACAGGGGGGACCGCTTGTCCCACCCACCCTTGTTTCCTCCGGGGGCTGGGGTGTGACCTCGTATGCGCTGCTTGGCCAATGCAGAAATAACTTGCAGGAGGAGGATCTAGGAGCAGGAGCTAACAACCCTTCCGCGGTGATATCGAATTAGAACCTGCTCTAAACAAGCATGCTCACGAGGTTTCTCCCCTGTCCCGTCCGCCCTCCCGCCTGCCCTCCTCTCGTCGGCGCGCCCAGGGGGAATCTGAGCGGGGGCAGGCCTTCTCAGAAGGCGGCGGGGATTCTCAGAAGCCCTCGCGCCTGATGACAAAGCGGCCAACTTGTCAGAACAACTTTTGGAGAAGCTCGGCCGCCTGCTGAGAAGCGGCCAACTTTCCAGAACCACTCTCCAGCCAACGCTTCTCTGGAGCAGGCCTGGGCAACTCTGCAGAAGGCCGGGGAGGCCCTCTGAGCCTCCTGAGGAGCCCCGCCCCGTCTGCCTTCCCCCCCCCTTCTGGGGCTTGCCGCCAGTCTCCTCTCCACCGCGCAGCCGGGTGCACCGAGCCCGGACCTGCCGGCGTGCCCCCTCCTCCTCCTTGTCCTCCTTCCTCCTCCTCCTCCTCCTCCTCCTCCTCCTTCTCTCTCCTCCTCCTTCTCTCTCCTCCTCCTCCTGTCTCCACGTCCTCCTCCTCCTCCTCCTCCTCCTCCTCCTGCTGTCTCCTCCTCCTGTCTCCTCCTCCTCCTCCTCCTCCTCCTTCTCCTCCTCCTCCTCCTCCTCCTCCTCCTCCTCCTCCTCCTCCCCTGGCCCTTGCCACACTGCGAGTGCTATTCGTGCAGTTCGGTCGCCACAACCGCGCTTAGTCGCCCCACCAGTTCACCTGATGGCCCCTTGACGGGCTTCCTGGAGCCACGCGACCTTCTCCTCCTCCTTCTCCTCCTCGGGGCCTGGTTGGGTCTGGCGCTGGGCCTTCTGTGGCCTGGCGTGGGGCTGGGCCTCGTCTGGCCCGGCGTGGTTTTGTTTGCTGGGCCCTCTGACCTCTTTCGGTCGCGCGGTTGCCCGGCGCCTTGGCGGTTCTTACCCCTCTGGAGGCGGTCCCGCGGGCCGAGGAATCAGGAGCATGACTCGCATAGCGGTCCCTTCGGTCTCTCCTCTTCCTCCTCCTCCTCCTCCTCCTGCTCCTCCTCCTGCTCCTCCTCCTCCTCCTCCTGCTCCTCCTCCTCCTCCTCTGCCCTGCTGTTCGGCGCGGGGCTGGCGATCTTGTTGCCGACGG